TCCCTATAAAGGGCTGAGAGAGTTCACCTGGAGGGAGATGGGTTTCTGCAGTAGGTCCTGAAGCAGGAACTAGACTAGAAGAGTGTGTTCTCCTTTCAGCCCTGAAAGCGGCGAGGGGAAACGAATGATGTTTTGCCTATGTTTTATGTTTCAAGACTAAAACTGCCCTGAGGGAAGATCCTGAAAGAGATCTGGGCATAGGGCTGAGTTTTTCCTGGGCCTCCAGTGTCCCTACGACTTATATTCAGGAGGAATAAATCCCCATATTCAGGAGAGGGGATGTGGCTTGAGCTGTAACTCTGGAATGTGTGCCGCACAAAAGGTGTCACTTTTGGAAATGAAGATTTCAGTTGTTGTGTGTTTTGTAGATGTTTCATATCCTAACACCAATAAACCTAGTCCTACCTGCCGTCCTAACAATTACATCACTCTCTGGCAGCAATGACTGAGGCCATCTCCTTCTTTTTCTTCTTCTAACTACAAAGTAGAGTTAGGTCGCTGTGTTCTAAAGCACTTAGGATTTCTCAACTGTTCATGTTTTATTCTTTTAAATGAATTAAGCACTGGTGAAAAGTGCCTGTTTGAAAGCCCCAGAGACTCCAGTCTCTCTCTTTATCCTCAGAAGAGGAACAGTATAAGCATCAGTTGTGCAAGCTCCCTCTAGCAATGTGCCTCTTCCTTGGTGTGGAGGGACTGCTTCTAGGGGTGAGTAGGGAGTTCAGTTTCTGGCTGTTTTGCTCTTTAGCTTCTCTACTGAGAACAAGGAAATCAGTTGTTACTAGGGTGACCAGACAGCAAATGTGAAAAATTGGGACAGGGTGTGGGGGGTAATAGGAGCCTATATAAGAAAAAGACCCAAAAATCGGGACTGTCCCTATAAAATCAGGACATCTGGTCACCCTAGTTGTTGCCAGTTGTGATTTTTGTTTCTATGATGCGGACACCTGTTGCTTAGGAACTGGACGGATACCCCTAACTCATTTCAAACAGGCAAATTACTTTCAGGGTCACATTCTTTCCTGTGCTCAAGGTTAGAGGCGGTGTCAGGGGCCAGTGATGGCTCCCTCATCTCAAGCAGTCCTAGTGTACATTAGAGCAGCCTAAGAGAGAAGTTCTAACTTAGGCCAGCAGGTTATGGAACATCAAAAGTGGCCAGACTGGTAGGAGAGAATATGTCCCTCAGTTGCTACTGACTTGAGATGGAGTTGAACTGGTGAACTGCTTTGTATCCTCAGTGGCTCTGTTTCCTGCCAGCCTTTCAGGACCCCGGCATATCTTATACTTGTTTAGTATTCTTAGGCACCATTTGTATTTAATAAATTGCTAATCATCTTCACCAGCCCAACAACTCATAAATCTTCTTTCTTTCAAGAATCTTTTTGGGAGTTTATTCTATCTTTTTCAGACTCTAAATTCTTTGGTCAAGATTCTTTTCCCCGTTTATACTTGTATAAATGAAGAGTAACTCCAGTAAGTAAATTAAGCCACACCAGATTTAGGCTGGTGTGACTGAGAGCATAGTTTGGCCTTTCCTATATATCTGAGTATGAACAGATGGGAAAAACATCCCAAAACATTTGTTATACACAAAAGCTGTTTTTATTAATTCGGAGAGAAAATACAGAGAAATGCTATAAAGAATCTGGTATTGGAAAACAGGAAACAATAGCTCAGATGTTGTTAGCACCTGGATCTAGTCACTGCCACTATCTTCATTTCAACTACTAGTGGATCTGAATCTGTTTTGTTATAATACGGTCTTTGAAAACACAGCAAAGTTTATTACAGTAATAACTTTCCTAAAAGCTGCCAGGCCCTGGGCCTGAATAAATCTAGGTCAAAATGAAACAAGAGATTCATTACCCAAAGAAAAGTGAAATGGGGGAAGAGATTTGAAGGTCACTGCCAAGCTCCTGCGGTGCTTCATGCCGGGAAAGTAAATTCTTGGAAAATACCAGACAGAGAGAAAACTTGGAAAAGGGCCCTGTTCTCTGGAACTGGATTTGCACTTTCCATCTGTGTTTAACAATGATCAGAAAACACAGGCTCTTGTTGTATTGCTATCAAAGGGCCTTATTCAGAGCCCAGTAACAGCTTGTATCATTTTGTTTCCTATTATTTCAATGGCTTTTCGCATCTGGAACATACCTCTGGGCTTCGGTAACCAAAATGAGTGCAAAAGTTTTAATGTGCTCCTGTGAAAGTGTACTGTAGGAGGTGCTGTAACGCCTGTGAACTTCAATTTTTCCATTAAATATGAAACTAAGTGGGACCTTAGCATGGACGGGAAAAATGGAGCAGCTAACACCAGACCATAACACCGCGCAGGAACTGGAGAAAGACCTGAGGGCTGTAGACCAGGTAACACTGTTCTGCCTGGGTCCCGGAATTGCTATCGTCGGGCCTGCCAAGAGCTTTAAGTTAAAACAACCGCTAGCTGCCCTAAAGGGGTCATTCTGGCAGCCAGGGTCCAGCAATAATTTGCTATACCCCCTTCCACCAGCTATGTCCCTGTGCTGGATGCTTAGAAGCGCGTGGCACAGGGCTGCCTGTAATGGCACCCTGGGAATCTTCAGCTGCCTGGCTAGTGCAGCAGTACAGCCCCTTTCGCTGCAGCAGTGGCGCATATCAGGGGACCAAAACTAGCCCAGTTAATCAGCCTGGAAAGTCCAAATACAAATACCTCTTTTCAGAAAGAAGAAAAAGGGATTGCAGAGCCCTAGGGAGCATAACTAGGTGTAGTGAGTTCAAATGACGCAAACCAATCTTAGGTGGAATATCCGGTAGATCTTTCTCTGATGAGGTCTGAATCTGCCTCTTTGCTTGTGTAATTTAAAACTAGACCGGAGCCTTAGGGTACGTCTACACTGTAATAAAACACCTGCGACTGGCCTGTGTCAGCTGACTCGGGCTTGCAGGGCTCAGGCTGCAGGGCTATAAAATTGCAGTCTAGACATTCGGGCTTGGCTGGAGCTCATGTTCTGGGACCCCATGAGGAATCTACACTGCAATTTTATAGCCCCCCAACCTGAGATCCATGAGCCCAAGTCAGCTGTCACAGGACATCTGTGGGTGTTTTATTGCAGTGTAGACATAGGAAATAGCCTAAGGCTGGGGTGAGAAAGGTGACGTGAAAAGTCCTTTTTGTCTCTAATTCCTTTGAATAATATGAGAGAGAAAATCTGGAAAATGACTTTGAGGAGTAATTAAAAGACCACCTGTCAGAGTTCCCTCCCCACTCTGAACTCTGGGGTACAGTTGTGGGGACCCGCATGAAAGACCCCCTAAGCTTATTATATAGCAGCTTAGGTTAAAACTTCCCCAAGGCACAAATCCTTTCCTTGTCCTTGGACAGTATTGCTGCCACCACCAAGTGATTTAGACAAAGATTCAGGAAAAGGACCACTTGGAGTGCCTATTTCCCCAAAATATCCCCCCAAGCTCCTTCACTCCCTTTCCTAGGGAGGCTTGAGAATAATATACCAACCAATTGCCTTTAATAACAGTACAGACCAGACCCTTTATTTTTAGGACACTAAAATCAATCAGGTTCTTAAAAGAAGAACTTTATTATACAGAAAAAAGTAAAAGAAGTACCTCTGTAAAATCAGATGGAAGATAATTTTACAGGGTGATAAAAAGATTTAAAACACAGTGGATTCCCCTCTAGGCTCAACTTCAAAGTTACAAAAACAGGAATAAACCTCTGTCTTAGCATAGGGAAATTCACAAGCTAAAACAAAAGATAATCTAATGCATTTACTTACAATTTCTGTAATTTTAGATGTATCATTTCAAGGTATCTTTTCAAGAGATGGGTTACCTGCTTGATCTCTCTCTCTCTCTCTCTCTCTTTCTCTCTCTCCAGAGGGAACAAAGAGAGCACAAAC